CTATGCCATGATTTTGGTCTTCTCTTTCCCTCTGATTCCCTCTCCCGCTCCTTGGCATTCACACACGCACCCACCTCTTCGCTCGCTCCCTTTGTAACCCCTTTCTTGTCTTCCCTCAATCCCCCTCTCTATCCTTCCTTCCTTTTCTCCTCAGTGTCTCCCTCTTGGTTAGTAACGATGTGCTTGAGCACGAGCTCTCCCTCCTCGCAGCGAGCAACCCAGAGAAGCTTCTGGAAAGCGAGCGGGTGATCAGGGAGGCAGAGCTGAACATGAAATTGAACCTTTTGGTGAGTCTACGTCGAGGGAAGCTCGGTGCTCGATCGCGTGAGAAGAAATACCGAGAAAAGGGAAGGAAGACAGTCCAACATTGAAAATAGGGATAAAGTAGAGAATGAAGGCGAGCGTCACGAAGGAGCTAGGAGCAGAGTGACTGAGGGAGAAAGTAAAGGGGGGGAAAGGGAAACAAGAAGCGTCGATTCTATTGATTGCAAAAGAGAGAGAGAGGTGGACGTCGTAGCTCGCTGAACAAGAGGGAAAAGGAAGCAAGCGAAGCGAATAAGCCATGAGAAGAAAGAAACAAGGAGATCAGGGCTGTAGGAAGTTGTGGAAGTCTCTTTCCACACGCCCACAACCCGGTCTCGTCTTCTTTGAGGGCCATGGCGGGATTTCTCTTTCCAGGACCGACTGTTCAGAGGCTCATAACACTCCTTTCCCTCCCTTCGCTTTATAGGTGCTGCGAGTGCAACAGGAGGAGATCACCATTGACCAGTACGTCAGCGCACTCGTCGAGCGAGTCAAACGAGACAAGGTATGTAGCTACCTTCGTATCTGGTGCTTTTTCCTGCCTCGCTGCTCTTGTCCTTTCCCTTTCTATTTTTCTTTCTGCATTTCCCGTCGAGGAAGCTCTCAATGTCGGGTTGGAACGGTATGATGACCAAGCCATATCTATATTCCCTATTTAACAGTCCCTGTTTCTTCGTCTTTTCCTGTTTGCTTCATCCTCTTTTTCCTACCTGTATCGCTCTAGCTGCTTGCTCTTTACTGCAGCCATCAGCAGAAGAAAGCTTTGGCGTTTCGGGTCCTGAGGCGCGTCAAGATTATGGAAGAGGAGCTTCGGGGTGTAGAAGGAGAGGCAATGTAGACCTTGTGAAAGGAGAAATCAATGCACACTGAGAGGGGATCAATTGATGTCACGCTTATGTTTTTGAGACCGTTCGTACAGCAACCCATGATGTCTTTTCGGTGTTAGAGAGGCAAACTTTCCATTAGAACTAGATTGCTAGTACGAAGACGGCTCGGGGATGAAGCCTTTCGGTTCTTCCAAGTCCTCTCAATGTTCGCCTCTATTTACGGGCTTACCGGTCCTGGATGTCTCGCCCCAAGTCCAGGATGTACTGACGTGAAAGTCCTGCCTCACTTAATCGCAATACCAAAGCAACGGCTCTTTTGCACTATCCCAGACTCCACATTCATGCACTATCCCAGACTTCACATTCATGTAAAGCTACGAGCACGATACCTATCTGCCAGTGCTCCGGACACGCTGGAATTACTATGTGTCTATAATTTGTACACGGACCTTTCACGGTGTGGGACACAACAGCAAGATAAGCAAGGGTTCTCTCATTTCCCCTCTTGATCTGATATGTCGGATCTCTAGAGCATCTACCAATGAACATCATGGAGTCGTTCAGATATCAAGCTCGAATACTTGAGGACCCTGTAGAATTGCTCAGGACCCTGTAGAATTGCCCTGGACCTAGGAAATACCATGCATTGAAAATGGTGTCAAGCAGGGATACAACTCGATCGATGAATGTTGTCACTTTCTCATAACCGCCAAATCTCCCAAAGTAGCTCAGATACGGATCTTTGCACAGGTACTCGCCATAATCTCGGAAATGCTCAATAATTTTATCGAAATTAGCAGCCTTTTGATGCACTAGATCATTTCCCTCCTCAATGAAAATGTCCAAACAGGTGGCACCTCCTTTGTCAAGTTTTTCCAGAACTACACAACCCTCTAATATCAGGATAGAGAACGATCTCGCATAGCATTGGCTGCCTATCAATGTCAAACGTCTGTAACAAGAATCCATGTTTCCTACAATAGTATTTGAAGTGTACCATCTACCGGATCTGCAACGCATGGCAGGCGTATCATATGAGAATAGTCACGCATAACGGATCCATTTGTCGTCCATCCTGTCCATTCGTGTAGTCCTATGACTCTTTTCTACCACTTCACACACTCTCTTCAATGTCCCTACTCAAAGGCATTCCCAACCTGACTTTTCATGGTTGTTTCCTTCCCCCGCCTTTCCCCTCACTCAATTTGTATTTACCATCCCTCCCAACTGTATTGTAACAGCTTCTTGCGCTGTACTGCAGCGATTCCCAGGAGAATGCCTTCGCGTTTCATGACTTTCAGACGGCTTTGGCGCTTGTTGTTTTCCGCGTGTTGAAGTATCGTAAACTCTTCACAGTAACGGAAATGTTTCTTCGACTTTTTTAAAATCCTGGTCAAGTATGCTCGCCATAGATTAAGAAGGAACTTGCCCATCATTTTCTGCGTAGTCGAATATTCTCGGCTCTAAGTATCACTATTGCTTTTCTTGGGGTACCAAAAATACTTCTCGATTCCCGAGATTTGCATCAACGGACGTTTGTCCTGCACGAAAACGTTCCGGCAAACCCGCATGCTGAAACTATGGACTTTCCAAAATTTCTTCTTGATCTTGATGCAAAAAGGAACATCGTGACGTCAGAATCATCTCCTGGAAGAGTGCTAGCGAAGCTAGATGTCGAAGGATACGAGCATACCCTGCTCCCAAATCTTTTCATGTCAACCAAGATGTCTACGGTTTACCTTCGGTCCCTGTGTATCTTATTAAGTCCATCAAGGTACCCCGATTCTGATGCAGTAGATTTTTTGGGTGTCTTCCTATCAGATTTTCTGCAGACTGGCTTCTTTGCAGTCTTGCCCCTGTCGCCAAGAATACGTCTAACACAGAGTTGTATATTCCCCGCTCTCTTGTGGCTCTGAATGCTGCTTTTGATATCTTGCCGGGGATGCGGGACGGATGTGGAGGAGAAAAAAGGGGTTATGAGATGGAGAGCGAGGTGGATGAGGCGGAAGAGGACATGGACTTCATGGCGGCGGCAGCAGCGGCCCTGGAGAAGAAGGACAATCAGGTCCTCCACGACCCTATAGTAAAATTGTGGGGCTGGTGAGAGCACTGAAGTAGACGATAAGAAGGGATGGGTTGGCGATGGAGGGCTTGCAGGCGAGGTGGGATGGAATTTTGCATGGGATTTACTTTGGGCAACCTGAGAAGCCTTCAATTATTGGACGGTGTGGGATGTGGATATGCATGGGGACAATATAGGCCGTCCTAGTACATCAGTTCTTTTCTTGTCATAAATCATTTGTCTGTAATAGTGCCTGAAACTTTGATTCCATTTATGGCGAGAGGTAATGTTTTCCTTTCTTGCAAAAAATCAAATTCTTCTTGAGATGAAATTGGTCTACTGGCCGTTTCACCCTCCTACAAACGCCAAAGGCTTCGCTTGGCGTTGATAAGTCAGTGGTCGGAATTATAAAGGCAAAGATCCGCGCGGTGGCATTCCCTCGTGACTTGTTTACTTTTGCCCAGGAGCACAGGCGTGAAGACGCCGGGCTCGGCAACGAGGCATGTACATTAGACCAAGAGGGGGCCCTCTCCCCAAACACTATCTAGGATATACTCCTACCAGACGAGATAGTCGAGTCTGAGAAGCCTCCTCACCGGATCCGGGGAGGGAACCCTCTGAAAGCATGCCATGCGCACGACTCCCCGGGTCACCCACCGCCATTGTCTTCTTTTCAAGTTGCGCCTAGGGCATGCCTCGGAACTCTGTTCACCACATAGACTGGCACCATTTGTCGTCCATGCTGTCTATTCGTATCTGTCCTATAACTCTATCATGCTTGACTTAGTAGGGGTGACCCCGACTAAATACGTGACATGGTATCAGAAAATGCATTTTTGACACTTTAACATACGTTTTTGCCCGTAGTCCCCCCCCAAACCCTCTCAGTTTGGACAGGCCCGCACCTGCGGGGCAGATGCACAGCAAAACGGATGCACATTTCGTTATGGTTACAAGAGCTTCCTATTATATGACGCCCTTCTTTTTGCAATAGCCGAGGATCCTTTTTCCCAGTGTAATGTTCTAGGTAGTATTCGCACGTACGAGTCTGGGTTGCTACTCGTTTTGCACCATTCCTGATCGGGATCAAGATTTGATCTAGCATCATGGGCTTCTTTTGCAAGAACCGCCGTAAATGAGATCTGATCTCTATCGCAGCCTCCGAAATACTCCTTTGACCATGCACAGCGAAATTTGCGACCTGCTTCACTTTTGAAATTATGAACCATGAGTGCTCCATCGATCAAGTTCACCATTGAAATATTTCGACTTTTTTGAAGCTGAAGATAACCATCCACCTGGTAGTCCATAGTTCTCAGCGTGTAGGTGGCAGTCGGTCGACCTTTCTTATACGCTATAATGGCTCTTTGTTCGTTAAAAGGGTCATTTCTAGCTGGGTGCCGTACTGCTACAAGGCTTGCAGTACGGTTTTCGCTGTCGCTCAGCATTCCAACAAGATGAGTATAATCTGCTTGAAGTGTCAACTTCGTATCAATATATAGGGCATGCTTTACAGATGATGATTAAAAGCGGGCGGGGGTTAGCTTCACGACACGTGATAGCCGTCGATTATCCCAGTAATGGAAACTGTCTCCGCTCCACATAATTATCTTCCATTTATCGCGGGACGCTGACATCGGGATCTCAATATTGGTGAAGGCAATTGCGCAGCATCGCTCGTCATTGCAGGCAAGCTCTGCAGAAGGGTCCTGTAGACCTGATCTAGTCGATCCGAAAAATGCAGTGTAAATAACAGTTTCACAACCGTGTGTCGCTTCCACGGATTCAGACACCATATCATCGAATGGCGATGTTATGCAATGGCTCTTCTCAGAGCACTCGCTAGCGCACAATGCACGTTCACCTGTATACAGAAAGTACCATTCGACAAATCTTTTGATCCCTTCATCCATGCTTACTTGAGGAGCATAAGAGAGGAGCTCTTTCGCCTTGCTCGTTGAAGCATAGGTCGTGTGTAAATCAACTGCAGAATCCTCAAAGCTTAGCCGTGCCGTCTGACCAACCTCCTTCTCAATGGTTTTTACCAGATCCAGAACCTGCTCTGGCTTACTTTTCCCCAAGTTGATAATTTCTGAGGAACTTGGAAGGTACCTTAAGGAGGCATATATTCCTGAAACTATGTCGTCAATGTACGTAAAATCTCGAGCCATGTCTCCTTGGTTGTAAACTGTAATATTCTCTCCTTTGGAAATGCTAGCAGTAAACTTGTAGGGTGCCATATCAGGTCTCCCCCAAGGTCCATACACAGTAAAGAATCTGAGCCCGACAGATGGAATGCCGAAGACCTTGAAATACACAAGAGCTAAGAGCTCGTTCGCTCGCTTGGAGAAGCCGTAAACACTAGAGGGGTTGTCCACCTGATCTGTCTCTTTGAAAGGTATTTCCACATTCCCGCCATAGACACTTGAAGAGGACGCGTAGACAAAGCGAGGAACCACACTATCGTTCGAGCTTCCTTTTAATCGACTAAGCTCTTCTAGGAGCGTTACAAAACATTGAATGTTGTTTCTGACATAGCTCAAGGGCTGCTCTAATGAATACCGTACCCCTGCTTGCGCAGCTAGATGAAGTACATGAGTTACATGGTGACCTTCAAAAATACTCCGCAAGAAGGGAGCGTCACAAACGTCGCCATCTAAGACCTGGACCGTGTTCCAGTGACTCAGCAAGTCTGCTCTCTTGTATTTAAGTGCGACATCATAGTAATCATTGAAGTTATCTATCCCCACAACCTTTGCTTTGGTGTGCTCAGCAAGGAACTTTGCCACGGAGAATCCAATAAATCCTGCAACGCCTGTGATGAGTACCGTCGAGTTCTCGTTTACAAGCGGGGTTGCCGGTTGGTTGAATGTCCATTGATGCGAGTCTGGGAAAGCGCGGAGCTGATTTTGCATCACAAGGAAAGCAATCATGGTACTCAGAGCCAAGACTATGTGCTTCAATAGGGTCGAGGCCATCTTGACCGAATGTTTCGAAAGCAAGTACTGCATCCTGTTCGGGTTAGCAACGGCGTATAACGAACAGGATGTAAGAAAGTCGTTTACCAGATGGAGCCCGATCGAAAAAAGAAAAATGTTTCATTAAGTTTTCAGAGATCCTGCATGTCGGTCCAGAGCAGGAGTCCTCTGCAAATAGATTCGGGTCCGAGCAAAAATATCGCCGGTGTCTGCGGCCGGACCCAACGAGAGCAAAGCCGTTCCCCCTACTCGGAGTCACAAATGAGGGTCACCAATCATAGGTGAGATTCCATTCATGAATGACGCTTGAGCTAGTAGAGTTGGGCCGTCAGAGTATGTGCACCCTTTTTGACTGAAATAAATCGAGTTGGAGCCTGAAAACGCGGCAGAAGAGAGAAAAAAGGAAAAGAAGAGGGGAAAAGAAAGGGGAGAGAAGGAGGAAGATTGGGGCCGTGAGCTCTCGATCGCTCGTTGCCCGCCCTAGCCCGCTTGCTTAGCAGTTTATTAAAAAGTGCCCATATAAGCACAAAACTATGCAATTCATTGAAAATCACGAGTCTATATCGATTCCTTATCCACGCACCAGTGTTCAGGCGGCCATGAGTTTGGATTCGGATCAGGACGACGAGTCGGTCGTAGTCTTCGCCCTGATGCGGCGGCGGCGGAGGAAGAGGACGACTTCGAAATGGACGAGGCCGCCGCAGAACGGCAGCAACAGGTGCAGCAGCAGGAACCCATGCCTGAAGGCTTGGAGCTGAGCTGGATGCAGCATTCCAAGTGTGGGAAATGGTTCGACCCGGACGCTTATGAGGAAGTGCAGGGCGGGCGGAAGGGCCAGAAGCCGTCCCCCGTGTGGTACTTCTCCGTGAAGGAGAAGGCGACGGGCCGACCCTTCTGCCTCATTGACCGCGCCTTCCATGCCAGCAGCTTGCTCTCATACAACGTACTGGTCCATATGCGAAAGAAAATGGAGCTCACAGTCATTTTCGGGGACGGCAGCGCGACGAAGTTCGAGCACATGGGAAGGACCGGGAACTCCATGACCTGGAGCAACGAGATGCAAGCTAAGACCGTCCGCATGTATGCCGCTGCCATCGCTGTCCATCAACGGTGTGTTGTGTGTGTAACTATGTGGAGGGGGTGGGTTGTACCAGTCTAACAACAACCGATCTCAACAACTCACACGCATCCACACATGTCACCATACAGGCCCCTTGAGGTTACAAGGGACCGTCTCTTCAAGATGCTGTTTGACGAGATTTCCTGGTGACAGCTCATCACCACTGCCACAGTCACGTTGGGTAAGGAGATACATAACCTTGGCCAGAACATCAGAAAGCAAGAGAAGAAAAAGATTGACAACGCCCAACTGGGGACACGGAGCCTGAGCGCCGACGGCTGGACGGCTGGGTGGTTGGGTTGGTTTTCGTAAAGTGGGGAATAATACCGCTCAGCATGACAAGCTGTAGATCTTTGACATCTTCACCCTCTCTTCTACGACCCACCAGGAATCAGACGCAGCGGATGGGGATGATCCTCCGCTTTATAGAAAAAGACACGTTGGAGCGGCGGAGAGTTGTAATCGCCTGCAAGTTCTGGGACCAGGCCCACGATGCGGAGGGGACAGCTGCGATGATGAAACAGGTTCTGGCGGACTGGGGTATCGAGGTGACGCAGATGGACATGGAGTGCACGGACAACGCCTCCGTCATGATCTCCTACATCGCCAACCACTTCAAGGGGTGGGAACGCCTCGCCTGCAACCCCCACACGCTGCAGCTGTCGTTGACTGACGTGCTGGTGGGCTCCTACAAGGAGGAGTACGTGCTGGTGGAGGGCGGTGCCCGGACCGAGACAACCAAGCGCAAGGTCTGGGCGAGAAAAGGGCCTGAGGTGGCACTGGTCTTCCGCCGCGTCCGCGATGGTGGTAAATTACCATACCAATAGACCCACAAGCAAGCTGTTCCTGCACTACTATAATGAGGCGGTGGCGGCCGGAGACGTGGACGGCGAACGTGCCCTGCAATTTATAAAGCCCGGAGAGACGCGCTGGACTGGGCTGTATCTGATGGGACAGCGCGTGCACGATCAGCGGGCGTACCTGTTACTCTTTGAAGACGGGCACCCCGGCGTCGACGGCTGCTGTCTGACGTCGCAGGAGCATCAGCTGCTGGGACAGGTGCTGGCGGTGATGGAGCGCTTCAAATCTGCTATGGACGTCTTCCAGACCACGGACTCGGTCGTCATCTCCCAGGTGTACCCCATCCTTCTCAGCATATATGGAGAACCAACGAAGAATGGGGCGGTACTCGTCATCCCCGGGGCCAAGGAGGACATTACGGCATCAGAACTTCTCCCGCCGCTGAAGGAGCTGCGGAAGGGCCTCATCATCAGCCTCCTCCACACGCGGTGTTTCGGCATGAACAAGGGTGAGTTCGCGAAGAACTTCACCATCTACGGTTCCGCCGCCTACTTGGACCCGCAGAACATTGCAGTGCAGCTTCTCTTCCGTTTCAAGTTGGAAACCGGGAGCTCTGTAATGGACTACTTGCACCAGGCGGTGAATTACCTGGTGAGGCAGGGTATGGAGGACATCATCACCTTCCTGGAGCGGGAGGCCGCCAGGAACCCCTCGGCCCCACGGACGACGCGGGCCTTCAACCACTATGGCAAGGAGAGTGCGACGGTGGCACCGCATCACCAGCACGCGAAGGAGAAGCAGCACGAAGACGGGGAAGATAAGGAGAACGACCAGAAGGATGATGGCGGGGATGGGGGGTCACCTCCCGCGAAGCGTGCCAAGAACTGGTGGGAGCCATTCCAGGCGCAGCTTCTTTCTGATTGCGGGACCCTGGAGGGCGGTGGAGGTGGGCTTGCGGGCGTTGCCTGGCCCAACAAGTGCATCACTGAGAGAGTGGCGACGCTACTCTTCAAGTAGGACTTGGTGTCGTATGGCAACCTGTGGAGGCAGCAGTGGATAGCCGTGCACGAGCTGCCTGTGCAGCTGCAGGCGTGCCCTCTCGTGTCGTTTTGGGGGCAGGTAAAAAACGGAGAGAGCATGCCTGTCCTGTGCTTCCTCGTCCACGTGACCCTGTTCGTGCCCCCCTCCTCCGACACCGAGCGCCTCTTTTCGGATAGCGGCTTCACATTTAGTGACCGCCGCCAGTGTCTTGATGCGCAGCGAATGGAGGACCTTATGATTTTGAAGGGGAACTGGGACGACTGTTACCTCGAGTTTACCGAGGAGGAGGAGTGATGAAAAGGAGTAATAGATTGATTCATAACCGTGACATTGGAAAGGGGGTGGAAAAAGCGCACGCGGCGAAGAAGCACCGGAAAAAGTTGCCTCAGACGAAGCTTTACGATTAAGTAGATTTATCAGACCGAAGGGCAGCCTTGACGGAAAGTAATAAAACGTAACATTTTTCGAAAGGAATCGAAGCCAACAATGATGGATTGAAGGACTTTATTTACTTTGCTTATCCATGAGTTTATATTGCCAAGTTGCTGGATCAAAGAAAATGCGTTTTCACATACCCTAAAATGCATTTTTGCCTGAGGCTCCGTCCCAAACCCCGCGAACCGGGTTCGACAAGGGGAAGAGGCCCCAGAGCCCTTGCTTCCAACCCCGCCAGACCTGCAACGCGCGTGTGGTCGTACACCGCAGGGCTCCGACAGGCAAGCTCCAGTGGCGCGGGTGCATTCTCATGCATGAGTCATGACTGACAACTGATTCATAGGCCGCCATTCATGAATTTCCAAATTTTAGTAGGGGTTACGACTCTGCATCGGCCCCTTTTCCACCATATCGTCATCATCATCGGTCCCTTTTCCATGAGGGCTTGACTTCCCCGCTATTCTTTCTCTAACCCGCCACTACCATATTCTAGAGATTTAAGCGTGCTAGCATCGACCAGTGCCTTTGGGAGAATATTAATTGTGGTAGAAGTCGAGGAGGATATTGGTCGATCCGCTGCTATGATATTGGTTTATTAGCATTCTCCTTCTCTAAAGACCTGTTGGCACTGTAGAGATCCCCAACTCATGGGACGGCAACCCACCACTTAAACTATCAACAACTCAGGAAATAGTGACATACCGTTGCACTCCCTCCATTTCATGGAAAAAGCTCACGAGCCTAAACGCACCTTTCGGCTCTTTTTCCTTTAAGCATCTGCAGCGTATTTGTATTCGGCCATTTATTCGAAAGACATTCAAAACGCA